CCCAACTTAACATCCTTTCCATAATGGCAACGATCTGCTTTGGAAAACCTAAACTGAGCATGATTCTCCATATTGTTGGACAGTAAATGGCATCAAATGCGGCGCGAAAATTGATTATGGTTATATTCATATAGTGGACAGTTGAAGTCCACACTTCTCACTCATACTGTTTTAACGGTTTGTGCGCTGGTAGTTCACTGGTGGATGCTCCAACAGTTGGAACAAAATTGCTCCTGTGGTAGAAATTTCTAAGTGTTGTAAACTAATCTAACTACTCGCTTCGGCGTTGCCTTGGAAATCTGTCCATCCGGTGATCAAAAACTTCAACTGGCGTTTTGTCTAGATGGATAGCGAATTTCCTGTCTCCTCTGAAACTATCCCAAAATTAAATTTAAGTTGCAGCAGTTAATTAGACTGCGTTTTGAACGATAACTTCACTACCAGAACAGGTGATCTAATGCCCTGAACTCACCCACAACTATAAAGATAAAAGAACTGTCCAGTTTAACGGCTCAACGAATATGACCTGAACGCCCCAAAAATGTTACAATTCAGCCATTTAAGTTCCCTTACAACAAAGTCAGTCATTCCTGATGTCCTCATATTTTCGATATTCGTGGTACGATTCTGGTTTGCACATATGGCAGATAAACGGCTCCTTTCTGACTTGCAGTAGTCTTCAGTTCAACTTCGAAACCTTCTGTAGATTCAGATTGATCATACTTGACACAGTCATCCTGAAACAGTGAACGCGCGGTCCTTGCAACAGACCAAAGTCAATCCACACATATTCGTGGCCGTAATTCAAAGCATTGTTAATAGGCGCAGGGTTCTTTGTATGGGTGGTCAGTCGTCCAGCAGCAATCTTATTTACTTATAATACGAGGCTGTTGACAACTGAGCTCGTCAAATCAGTCGAACTTACAGGGCCAAGAACTGATCAGAACTTTGCCGCCTGTGTGGACTTTGTTATTTACAGGTCGATTACGTGCAGGCGTTCACCGGTACACTTTACAAAAAGAGAGCGGATAAAAGACAAGCAAGCGATAAACACTGTCTTTAAACACAACTATTATGGGAAAAATGTACATATCAAGCGCCGCGTCATCATCAAACAATTTTAGCGTTCACGTCAAGCCTTCAGAACTCCGCTTATGTCAATCCTAAGCTCCCGTGAGAAAGGAATACGGTTGGGGACTGTGGTGAAGTCTCCCGTACATTAAGCCACTGCGCCTCATTGTACTGACGTTATCAAACTCCATATTGGCTCGGTCGTCGCCCTGATTACTAAACGCCGCGCAGGCTGTTGGGGGACTGAGGCACGCTGCGAAAAGTCAGCGACCAGAACATGGTCATCGCTTTCTGGCAGCCGGGGTTTAGCAGCACAACAACGGCTGCCGAAGATCGACGAAACAAAGCGAAGATACCAGTCAGCAAAAGAGTCCCTACCTGTTCTGAAAAGAGGAAGCAGACAGCGCGATACCACTAGAGCACGTCATATAAGGCTTCACGGAAACGATGCTGACAGAGGGAGCTTACAGTCGAAAATTAGAATATATATTTACTCAGAGGGAAAGAGCGGGAGCAAGTTCATGAGGCAGCAAGGCACCGACTCAAAACGGCTAGATTCTCGTAAACAAGGCGCCAGGGCTGCAAAGCTCTAAACCTCCGCGAATGGAAGCTGCTTCATTATGAACACCTTCTTCGAGCATCGAGGAGTGCGTCAGTACAGGTAGTACTGGAAAGCTAATGCACAGAAGTCGATGATCGATTTGATAGTGTATCGTCTGACTTACGACGCTCTCTAATGGATATTCGCGTTAAGAGAGGCGCAGAGCTGCGAATCGATCATCACCCTGCTGATAACATGCTACGCTCTGAGAAATGCAGTTCCATGCGACAATGTGGTGCCAGAAGCAACCAGAGAATTAGAGGAAACATCATCTTCGGCGGATATGAGAGCATGAGCGCAACGGTGTAGGAGCCCAATTTTCGGCAAATGTCAAACAAGGTATTCTGGCACACGATCTGCCGCCTCGAGATAGAGAGAAGTGCAATCACAGAGTCCTGAAGAACCAGCCCTGACGCCTTCTTACCAATGAATATACATTTCAGCGATGGAGAGAGACCTCTAGGAACTCCTTAATCCTGAACAACCGCAGGAAGAGATTCGCCTGAACAGCAGGAGGCAAAAGACGCTAGTCCTTCAGTACACGAAGTCACGAAAGCTGAAACAAGATTGAAAGGTAGCAATGCTGCTGGAATCGATGAAATCCATCCTGAGAGGCTTAAAGGCGAACGATGCACGTTTCAGCTGACAGGTGTCTGTCAAATTGCGGTGACCACGAAGAAGACAAAGGAAAATTTTAGAACTGAAGTGCCATTATCGCTCTTTAAGAGAGACCATAGAGTCTGCCCAACTCATCGGAGCACCAGCTTATTGAGCTTCCCGGGAAGAGTCCGCGCAAAGTTGTTGGAAAGGACGGCCCGTGGGTTGGTTGACTCTAAGGTCCAAGAAGAGTAATATGACTTCAGATTGAGTCGAAGAATATCTGATCAAATCTTCGCCTTACCCCGACTGTTACGAAATCGTGGGAGTTCACTGATAAGGCTTACAAATGTTTTGTCGACCAAGTAAAAGCCTCTGACCGGATCCCGCGCAATAGTCTGTGGGCATGCCTGCGAACATACAGGATAGATGGCCAGTTGTTACGGGCCATTCAATTACAATATGTTGATAGAATGTGCTGCGTCATAGTAAACGGTGTTAAGTTGAAACCTTTCAGCAT